TGTGTGTGTGTGTGTGTGTGTGTGTGTGTGTGTGTGTGTGTGGGTGTGTGTGTGTGTGTGTGTGTGTGAAGTCACTCTGCAGCTATCGCTTGGTTTTTACTCCTGTACCATCATCCACTGACTGGTACAGGTGGAAACCCCCTCTAAAGCCTCACAGTAATTAGACTGCACTATACACAAATTGACACAACAACCAGTTTAGAGTATATTCTATTTAATTTAAGGATCAAAAATATGACAATATACAGTACAAGATTTTGGTTTAGTCAACATTTCATTATAAGTCAAAAATACAATATTTTCAGGTCTTCGTGAGAAGTCATTAACCATTTTCTTGGAGTCTGTTTATTACTTTCTTGAAACCACACAGAGAAAATAATCCGCAGCTCTCACACATAATATAATTATATTCAGACTCAAAGTCTTGCTACTTTATAAAAGAACAGGGGATTCTAATAGACTTGTGTTTATCTGAAACAAATCCAGTTGTTGTTTAGAAAAGAAAGAAAAGTGATTATTAAAAACAAACTTTCATGTTTAAAGCCGTCATGTCAGATGTACTCTAGTGCTTGGAGGAGTGTTTGGACCTGCTGCAGGAGGAGGATTTTAACTTGAGAGGCTTTGCACCATTTCAAAGTAAATGTTGACACATTTTTCACATCATTTGCTAAACTCATAGTCTTGCAAATGTATGTTTTATGTGTAAAGTATATGATAAATGATAATGTCAAACTCAAGGCCCACAGGCCAAATGCGACCTGCAAGAGCTTCAAAGATGTTTTAATGTCCTAAAAGAAGCGTATGGGGCTTTAAAGCTAGCACTGGCTATCATCTACATCTCCCATAATGCATGTTGATCATTAGAGTTGGTCAAGGTTCAAAAGTAGCCTGCAGCTGGTAGAATTGATGTAAAATCCATTTAGCAGCATTTTATCTGACTATTTTTCTATGGCCCAGTTGTACTGGGAAGTGGGAATTTCACACTTAAAAATTGTAAATTTAAACCGAAACTCCCCTCCAGTGGGAATTCCCTGTCAGAAAGTGGGCGAGTTCAGAATTCAAGATGGTGGCTACTCACCACAACTCAACAGTGAGTAAAACTCATATTTATATTTTTTAAAGTATTTCACATGTATTTTATTTCACATGTAGTCAATCATACACATTGTAYTTTCAGTGATTATAAGAGGACGTGTTAAAATGTTTCTATGCACAAAATACCATGTAGAGCTCAGTTATGGTTTCTTAGTGGTGCTCAGCCGTAGCAGTGAGATGAGGAACAATGTATATTTCGGGTTTAGTCGAAGTTAAACAGAAAACATTGAAGTTTATTACAACTGGGCCTTTGSGGGCCACCATTATACTCAGTTGTATTACCCATCCATTCATCCATCTATTATCTTTACATGCTACTTCTTCTTGGGTTGTGTGGAGCTGGTACCCATGTCCAGCAGTAACTGTGTGAGACACAGTGGTCCATCATAGGGACATGACAACCAAAACTAACAATCATTCACTCCTAGGGACAATTTAGATTTGCCAATGAATCTAATATGTATGTTTTTGGTTTGTGGCAGGAAACTGGAGAAAACCCAGAAAGGCAAGGAGGCGGTCCTATGACCTTCTTGCTGAGTGGCAGCAAGTTAGTGTATCCCATTTATTGTTAATAATTAACTCTCCTTAAAATGTCTTAATAGGAGAAGTAACCGTCTCTGGTCCTTTGAGAACTAAAGAACATTTGATAGCATCCTCAACATACTTAAAGTAACATAGTTGTTGTGGTAATAAATCAATGAAATACATGTTATCTTTAACTTGAGATCTTAGACTGCGATGGAAATGACTGTAATGTGACAAAAAATATAGCAATTGAAATATTCACTGACATGCTCCAGCTGATATTAAAAGTGTGGCAACAGTGTTGAAAAAACAGGTTTACTAAAGTCTTGACTGGCTGATGTATGAATGATACCTCTGAGTGWGAGGTGAGAAAGCCATAACGATTAGAATAATGCTACAAATTTGGAACAGTGTTTGTGATTTTCCAAACGGTGTCCCAAATTCCCCTCCCCCCACGCCTTGAAAGTCACATTGCAAAGCTTTGAGACCACGTTTGAAGGACTGAGTGAAATGGATGTAAGTAGAGGACTGATGGAAATCAGAGTGACTTTTCTTCTTGTAAACAACACTTAACACGCACCACTGCACAAATAACAGGCACTGAGAAATGAGACGACTGAGATTGACAAAACTGAATCATAAAACAACAACAAAAAGGGGGTTTTACTCTGTATAATTACTTTCCATAGGCTGTCAGATACTTTACCCTTTTATGGCTTTATCTTTTTTTATTGAAGTGACTGCCTTCTGTCATTTGGACAACAGCTAATGACCTAATTCCATCATTCAGACATGCTCAGGGTGATAAAMGACAAAGCCTCAGTAAGTCTTCAATTCTTGTCATTTTCACCAAATTTGACAACTCAAAGTACAGTTAGAATGACAAAAACTTAATGTGGAGATGTGTTGCTGTAACAACTGATATCATTTGAAACATTGTACACAGGTGGATTGAGGCAGTTCAATTTATTACATTTTTAAATGTTGGAAAAAGAGTGAGACTGGCTTCTTTTTCATGAGCTTTTCTTTAGACTGGCGTTAATGACTTCAGCTCTAGAAAAACATTGATTTATCATTAAAAAGGTGCAGAAAACTCTGCTGGTTTCAATCCCAAATCTGGTACTCTAGGTAGTGTTGCTTTGTGTGCGCATAAAGTTCCCACCTTATAGTGATGCTTAATTATTAAATCCAACCAAGAAATWCATTTTTATGGTTTCAGAAATCATCAGGGTGCTTATTCAAACATAACATTCAGTTACCCTCAGATTAATTAAAGAGTTCATGTCTAAAAAGGGCTTCATAATARCTACTGGAGCAGAGATGAAATTATCACTCCTATTTTTCCTCTGTGTTATTGCACTTCTCAGTCGKAACAGTACCACCCCAGTGCTGGTCCAATAACGAAGAAATGTGTGCCTGTCAGCAAATTTCACATGAACACAAGAAAAAGTTGGGTTCAAACCTAAAACTCTGCTGCCTTCTGCATACCAGTTAGATAAATAGGAACGCAAAAGAACACTGTGTGTGTTTTGGTCAAAATGYATTTTACACAGCTGGAATGATCACATTTCTTGTTGACCTGTTAGCAGTTTACTGATTTGTGTATTTTCTTGGAATCATTCTTCACTCATAGTTAAAACTCTCTTTCAGCTGTCACCCGTATCACTGCTAGCTCTGTCAGTTAATGCACTGCTGACGTTTCAACTCTGTACTCTATGCCAAATACTGAATGTCTCCAGATGTAAACTRTAAAATGACTCCTCACAGCTTCGGTAAGAAAATCTAACTTTTGTAGCCAAATCACAAGCTATGTTTTCATGGTCATGAATAATCGGAATAAGCAACCAATAGGAAAAAAAATGTGTCATTTACTTGGAATATTTTTGATCAAATTCATCTCGATCTAAATACATTTGTAATTGGAATGAGGGGTGGTTTGTCGATTGATAATCCAAACGATGTGCATGTAAACTGATCATGTTATACTGGTTGTGGAAAATGGACCTGACCGATGTCAACCTATTATTTTCGCCTGGTTAGAYGCTAATATGTCAGGGAAGCTAAATTAGTTGGTTAGTGATACATTTCTATTRGAAACTTTAAAAGAGCTCAAAATTACTGAATGCCTTGATGGTCGAAMGTGAAGGAACACAGAGTTCTCTCAGAGTTTATTTTAATGTTTGTTTCTGTTCATCATGGAAGTAGAACTTCTGTGTTTTTAGGGAACATTTACAAACTCTGCATATGTCATGGGGTGCAGCAGTACATGCATCTGTATTGAACTGTTGAATACAGTGATTTAGGTTCAGTACATCAATCAATACACATTTTAAAATTGTATTTGAGCAACTTGTCTTCTAAAGATGCTCTGTGTTAAGGATCAGTGGATCGGCATTCAACTACTCCACCTAGGCTGTATTGTCGAGCTCTGATCCACAGAGAAACTTGAAGTTTCAGCAACGTTTAATTAAAAAAACGGTACTTTTGAGGTTAAACAAATATTTGTAATTAATTCCAATAAATTACAAGTAAAGAAGGGCATGGAAATTTCTCTTTCAAACTGTGACACTAAAGTATCAAACCGAACCGAATCGTGATTTCTCTGCATCGTTGCACCACTAGCATGTCAGTACTTCTGTTCTGAATAAAAGCCTGGTGCATGTAAACACTCATCATGATTAGATTAGTTAATTTTGTGCCGATATAAATGATACATWCAAATGATTTAATCAGCATACTTTTCAATCTGATAAAAGAATTTTGTGAATGTAAACATAGCTATTGTTGATGATCAAAACACAAATTTATCGATTTAATTTCTAGATTTTTCAGCTCATAGCAGAAGTTCTTAACACCATTTCAGTCTTAGGATACACTTAGCCAGGAGAACATCTACAACAGCTCGGTGATTAAAAAAAAAGAAGCTGTCTAAAGGGCTTTCATAGCTACTTTAATTTTTTCCCCTTTTATTATAATTTATATGCTCTGTTAATGTCACAAAAACACAAAGTTCTTCATGTGATTTGGACCTTCGGTGTCACTTACTCATACTTTCACTTACAGTAAGTGCATGAATCAGACTTTCCTGCTGATCTTGAAGTCTCTGCCTCCCATCACGGGTTGTGCATGAAGGGCTGGAACTGCATTAATTAGACAGCCTGACGTATAAAGGTGCRTGTGCATTATCTTGACAGGCACCGCAGATTTCTCTGGCTAAGTGGAAACACAGAAGCAAACCTCTCCGATGTGAATAACGGGCGGCACTCTGAGGTATATCGTTCTCACTCATCCCTCTTCAGCCACTCTCTGCGTGTCTCGCTTCTCCTCGCTGGGTTCGCCTCCCTCCTCCGACTCGATGATACGCTGATATCTCCTGGCAGTGGATGCGGGGGCTTCTCATTGCTGCACTGCATCGCTCCCCGTGCCCTGTGGTGCCTCTTCATATCTCCTCATACTTCTCCTCCTCCTGCCTCGTCATCACTTTCCTCTTCTCTTTTAATTAAAATGGAAGCGTCAACACAAAGTCCCTCCAGTTGAGTTTACTTCACCTCTGACAGGTTTAACCTCACGCTCACTTGCAGTTTTTGCATTCCTCTCTAATTGGTCATTGCACAAACAAAGCACTTAGGTTTAGCTTAGCGAAATGTACCTTTTAGGTTATACTCTCAACTTGTCCATTCACACAAACATCCTGCTTTAGCATTATGTCTTCTCTTTTACCGAGGTTGTAAAAATAAAATACCTGCTGGCCCCACCTTCACCCTCCTTCCCTCCCTCCCCGCCAATGCAGGACCTGTCAGTGTCTCATGGTGTTCTTGCCAAACTTGTCGCCGAGTTGTTGGATGAGCAGCGCCAGCTCCTCGGCGGCCTGGGACTTCTCCTCCAGGAGCTCATAGCGGAGGCTGGAAATGTCTTGCTTGATCTCCTTCAGCTCGCCTACAACGCAGAGACAAATGGAGGAACAGAGTGAGCGGACGGGCAGGAAAAACGTCAGACATGGATTCTGGTCAGCGTGGATAGTGGAAATGTAAGTGACCCTTCGAGGTCACCCTGTGATATGTTTAGTTATAATTCAGTAAACAAATTAAACATCAACTGTCACCAGTCATGGCACATTTACATCCACAAGTATGACATGTTCTTTTGATAATATAACACCATATAATGATGACCTACCCCAGTCCTGAAATACCAAAATCTGACCTGACTGACTAGCTAACAGCTACTTAGAGTGACTCTGACTAAGACTGTTCACAATCCAGGTTCTAATGCTTAATTCCAAATTTGCATGGGAGTTCACAATAAATTTTAAAGGCAGCTCCAGTGTGGATTGATGCAACCCACATGCGCAGAACATGACGTCACATTCAGCTCGCCGTTTACAGAATGGATGCTAATGTTACTTGTTAGCATGTCGATAGATTGATCCAAATACCCCCAACTCACCTACATAAAAGTAGGATGAGATGAAATAAAATAGTTCAGACTGTGGTTGCATTGAAAAGCATCAGATATGTGTCCGTTTTGTACCACATACTGAAAAGGCCTGGGTCAGACTGAAAAAATTGTCAGAAAAAATCTGATTTGGGTCACATTTTTCTGCAGTAGCTTTAGACTAAAGTTGTTTGCTACAAACCAAAAACAACCCTAATTTCAAAAAGTCCAAAATGATTCAGTCAAAGACATATGTTCAACAGGTAAGATACTAATTGTTCATAACCTTGTCACAGAACCCCATTTGTAACAAGTTGTACTATCCCCTTTAAAAACAGAAGAAATATTCAGCTTGCTAACATATTCAGCCTTTCTTTTCATACTTTGTAAAGTATCTTTGGCAGCCGTCACAGCCTCGGGCCTTTATAAGAATGATCCTCCAGTCTTAGCACACCGTTGCTTTGGAAGTCTCTCCCATTCTTACTGACATAAACACCTAACCTCAGCCAGGTTGGATAGGGTGCAGATCAGTGCACAGACATTTTCAGATCTCACCGGAGACACGGTTCTGGACTCCCGGAGCAGACTTTGGCGGGGCTGGCAAAAATAACTTTCATAAATATTTCCAAAGCCTCTCCTGTGTTTTTCTTCGAGAAATGCCTCGGGTTACTGTCTTGGTGAACTGACTCACTTAGCCCTGGCCTCCTGAGCACTTTAACACACGTCTCTTCACTATATATATATA